TGTTTATTTAACAGTGTCTGATAACTGACACCTCTTGCTCTGAATTATTGCATCAAAATATCTGTGCTGTTGCAATCTTGAGTATACTATTCAGGTGTGTATCTGTAAGCTGCAAACCTATGATGACGCAGTAGCAGCAGAACTGGAAGAAGAAGCAGAAGACAGCCAGTTCCACTGCGGGCCTGATAGAAGCCCTCCGGGGGCCTGATACCGCCCCTGGGCCGCATGTTTGACACCCCTGCTCTAGTTCTAATGTTTCACAAGAACATAAGCATTGAGCTACTGATACTTGGGTATAGCAATAATTTTCATGGTTATTGCCATAGTTTGAAAACTGATGGCTGTACAGGTCAATTTAAGTTTATAGACTGTAATGGTGGACAAATAGGGAAGCTTTATTATGATCTCTTTGAAACAGCTTGAAACGTCAAGAAAATTTGGAACCAGGTATAATTTGCTTATCTATCATGGCATCATGGTTAAATATCCAGCCTTTGTCAACTGGGACAAAACCCTGAAGATTTACAGGTACGGTTCCCAGCTCTGGATTGGGAAATACTTGGACATTTTGGGAGTGGAGTCTGAGGAGGATGGTATTTGGGGAGGGGAGGGACTTCAATGGAGTATAATGCTATAGACTCCACCTCCCAAAGCAGCCATTTTCTCCAAGTGAACTTATCTCTGTCACCTAGAGATCAGTTATAATTCCAGGAGATCTCCAGCCACCACCTGGAGGTCGGCAGCAGTATTTACAGGAATTCTGTTATATCCTGCAGTCCATTTGTTATATTTCTGCATTGAAATAAGGCAAATAAGGGAAATGGGGGCAGCAGTGACAGTGTGATGTCACTTCTGGGGGAAACCTGGAAGTGACATTAGTCCTCTATAGGAATCACTGGAAGCTCTATGGTAAAACCATAGCATTTTGGGACTGATGGCACTACTGTGTTCTCACTGGAAGTGATCTCATGCTGTTGGCCTATAAGTATACCACTCTGAGCTTTTTGGAGGTAGGGTGGCATAAAAATGTGATATACAAAAGAAACGGCCATCATCTTGTTCCGCTTTTCTCTCAACTCCAAGGACAAGCTACTCTGCTGTCAAATTTCCAAGGTGGTATGTTTTGCATTTTTCTCTGCATTAGATTATGGGAACAGCAGTCGAACCCCCTCATGTTCCTGTAAATCCTCTCTCCTGTGGAAGTCACTGAGCTGTAAAATATTTAAACTGGCTACAGTTGTACCTCATTTGTTTACATGTTTCCAGCAGGCTGCTAAAATGTAGCACGCTGAAGGAGAACAAAGACTGCCAGATGCTGCATCGAATTTCATAACGGCCCTATAAACCATGCACTGATCAACCTGGGCAGAAGAACGTCTCTCTTGCCCACCTTCACCCTTGAGGTTAGACAGTGCCGCAAGCTACTTAAGTGCATGGACTCTAATCTGGGAGAACCGGGTTTGATTCCCCACTCCTCCACTTGCACCTGGCTGGATGACCTTGGGCAAGCCGTAGTTCTGATAAGAGCTGTTCTTGAAAAAGAGCAGTTTCTGCCAGAGCTCTCCCAGCCCCACCTACCTCACAGGGTGTCTGTTGTGGGGAGGGGAAGGGAAAGGAGTTTGTAAGCCGCTCTGAGACACCTTTGGGTAGTGAAGGGTGGGGTATAAATCCAATCTCTTCTTCTTCTTCTTCTTCTCTTCCCAAACATGTATTCCGTTTTATTCTGCACCTTTACAGGCAGGAGACGGTGTTGGGAAGCCACTGGGTGGTGCAGTAGTGTCTGGCGCTAGCCCAGAAAACCTTCCCTCCATACCTGGGGGCTGTACTACAAAATGGGAATCCTGTTGTCTCATTAAGATCTCCGCTTCACTGAAGGCCTCAGCCCAGAGGCCATGGTTGGAATTGGAAACCCCCTTTTTTGGCCCAAGTCTGCTCCTGAAAGACAGAAACTGTAATTTGCTGTCTATCAGATGGATGGATGGTTGGCTGATCAGGTGGCCACTGCTTAGTAGCTGCAGTGGGTAAGGAGTAAGAAGGAGGCAAGGAAAGAGAGAAGGAAGGAGGAGGGTGGAGACGAAGAGGGAGCGGAGCTCTTCTGTGGCTCAGATACACAATCCAAACCAGCAAACCAGAGAAGAGGCCTAGGCTGTAATACTTCCATTCGTAAAGATACAACACAAAATGGGTATCTCACTTTTTTTTTTTACCAAAAACAAATCAGCCAGTATCATAATGCCCCTGTATAAATCAATGATGCGACCTCATTTGGAGTACTGTGTACAGTTCTGGTCACCACACCTCAAAAAGGGTATTATTGGAAAAAGTGCAGAAAAGGGCAACTAGAATGATAAAAGGGTTGGAACACTTTCCCTATGAAGAAATGTTAAGGTGCTTGGGGCTCTTTAGCTTGGAGAAATGATGACTGAGGAGTGACGCAATCGAGGTTTATAAAATTATGCATGGGATAGAGCAGGTAGAGAAAGAAGCACTTTTCTCTCTTTCTCACAATACAAGAACTCGTGGCACTCAATGAAATTGCTGAGCAGTCAGGTTAGAACACATAAAAGGAAGTACTTCTTCACCCAAAGAGTCATTAACACACATGGAATTCACTGCCACAGGAGGTGGTGGCGGCTACAAGCATGGACGGCTTCAAGAGGGAATTGGATAAAAACATATGGAGTAGAGGTCCATCAGTGGCTATTAGCCACAAGGTATAGATGAGAACTCTCGGTCTGGGGCAAGTGATGTTCCGCATTCTTGGTGTTTGGGGAGGGGGGCAACAGCGGGAAGACTTCTAGTGTCCTGGCCCCACTGCTGGACCTCCCGATGGCACCTGGTATTTTTGGCCAATGTGTGACGGAGTGTTGGACTAGATGGCCCATTGGCCAGATCCAGCATTGGCTTCTCTTATGTTCTTATATTCTTACCCCCCAACACACACTAGGATCCAAAGCATCTCAGGGATCTATTTTCAATTGTGGAGGTAACATGGGGAGAATACTCTCCCCCTCTCCTTCCAGAGTTTTGTGGCTCCTGTCTGTATCATGCCTTGCCTTGACTGTTTTTGCAAAAGGGCCCAAAAGGCACACTGAGAGTTCTGTCATGGAATTCCAATTTCACATAAATTTTGGCTGTTTGTGAAAGTCGGGAGATACACGGCAGGATGGAATATCACCAGTGCTGTATGACCCTGTGGTCTGGTGAATGTTTTTAAATGTAAAAACCAGAGTGCCATAAGGCCTCACAAACCAGACACTCTTGGGGGGGGAGTTGTATTTTTCGTGTGTGTGTGTGTGTGTGTGTGTGTGTGTGTGAGAGAGAGAGAGAGAGAGAGAGAGAGAGAGAGAGAGAGAGACCTCTGGTGACTGTCCCCTACTGGGGGCCTGGAGGATATTATTCAAAGAGGTGGTTGAATAAAGCCTGATCCCACTTCCCATCTCTGGTATTCCAAGGAGGTCTCCCATCCAAGTACTTGCCAGAGTCAACCCTGCTTAGCTTCCAAAATGAGGAACTTGGGCTTGCCTGGGCTATCCAGATTGTTGGAAATATGTGTGGTGTTGCGAGGTCTAATTCAGTCATTATAGGGTTAGACTGTTTACCTTGTGTGCTATCGTTTAGATTAACCTGGAAGGCAACCTGGCTAGAACCAATGGGAAGAAAGCCCAGGAAATCTAAGTCTGTTTACTCACAATCATTGGTTAATGTATTCAGGTGATTTCCTTCTAGGGGTCAAGAATAATAATAATCTCCATTGCTGTTGTTGCTGTGGTTGTTGAGAGACCTTGTGGTCTGTCTGTCCTGTCTGTCCTGTAGCTGTAGAGATGTAGCCTTAGGTCATTGTTATTTTGTAGCTTTACCTGTGTACCCTTCCCTTAGAAATAAAGATTTTTACACAGAAAGAAATGCCTCCTCTCTAGTGAAGCAAAGATCCATTGCAAACTTTAAATATCTAAGTATTTTTGCCAATTTTCCCAACACAGGTCAGGTCAAACCAGAGACTCTTGCAACCCAAAGAGGGCTGTTGTTACCCCTCTGGTGGCAGATCACTAGAAACAGAAGCAGCTGGCCCACTCTCTGTAGCTTGACTGCCATGAAGGTCGGCAGCTGAGCAGAGGGAGCTACTGCTGCTTCTCCTTTTTTTGTCAGGAGACATCAGGACAGGGAACAGGGTTCTACTTGGTTTAACAAAGCCACTGACTCTGGCCTGCTCCTCCGTTGGAGCAAAAGAGTGAAAACCAAGCTGCTCTCTGTAGGGTTGCAAACTCCGAGCTGGGAGATTCCAGGAGACTTGGGGGTGGAGTCTGGGGAGGGTGGCACTTGGGAAAGGGAAAGGCCTCAGAAGTGTATAATGCCACACAGCCCCCCCCCCCCCCCCACAGCTGCCTTTTTGCTGCAGAGGAACTGATCCCTCCAGTCTGGAGATCAGTTGTGATTCCAGGAGATCCCCAGGCCCCACCTGGACGTTGGCAAGCCTAGCTCTCAGGGCACCATCGGTCTGCATTGTTTCCAGAGTGCTCTGAAAAGTAGTTTCTCATGTACACCGAAATATTCTTCAAACGATCTCTCCCCCTTGGGGGGGAGGGGGGAGGAGAGGAGAGGTTCAGCATATCCCATTCTGCGCTATTGGTCCATTTAACATCCTTTGGATATTAACAGTGACTGGCAAAGAACCAATGCCCGTGGGCATAGAAGCCAAGGTGGTTTGCTCTCTAGAATTTTAAAAGCCTGGCAAACAAACAATTTTGCTATTCTCGTTTCATGCAACACTCCCCCCCCCCCCAGCATACATTAAAAAAAATAAAAAGACCCTTACAGGCTCATCAAAATGCACTAAACAAGAGCTCTTTCTGTAACTGAGCCACAAGGGATCTTTTCTTACCCTGCTATAAAATTGCATCCAACACATTGATCCTTTGTGCAAAGGTTTACTAGCCACTCCCCAGCGGTTCTGATTGACATTTTTTTTTTATGCCTTGCTGGTTGGTCATTCATTGTTCTCAGAAGCATTTTTTCTGCAACACGGTTGGACCGACTTCATTGTACTCTTGCTGGGTCACCCACATGTTCCTAAAGGAAGCCAAACTGGTGAGTACCGAAGCACCAATCCAGACAGAATACACCCTATCTTCTGGTGCTGTGACTTTTACCGGCATGCCCCTGGGTGCCAGAGCCTGGAGCTCCTTAAGAAGTCTGTCGCTTAGACCAGTAAAGAGGGTGGACCCCCCTGCCATGAACACATTGCTCCAGATGTTTTGCTGGATGCTCCCATTGCAGTTCGAAATACTGTTCAAGATCATCTCGTGGATCCCTGGTGATGAGACGCCTGCATCAGTGGGGCTAAAAAGGGACTCTGGAGTTCTGTGAAGCTGGTCACCAATCTTGACAGAATTCCCATCTGGGAGAACGTATTTATGGGCTGACCCTTTCTCCTGGCTAGGGTCCAAAGCAACATAGCACATGGTCTCCTTGATGTTCTTCACTATCTCCTTCTCAGCCGAACTTGAAAAGATATGCCCGCTCTCCAAGAGAAGTGTTGCTAAATATCTGGTGATATCCCGGCCTGCAAAATTCATCCTCGAAATGCCGTGAAGCAAACAATGGCCTTTATAGACGGGGACTGTCATGGTGACACCATCCCCACTATCTAGGACTAAGCCCGTGGTTCGAGCCGAGGCATAGAGAGCCAACAGAGCTTGCAGGCCCACAAACATGGCAGGCACCCGGAAACGCTCAAACATGATTTCTGTCATTTTTTCTCGGTTTGGTGCAGGGTTGAGCGGGGCCTCCGTCAGCAGCACGGGTCTGTCTCTGGCCCTCATCCTGAGCTCCCGCCTGTATATGTGCCTCCAGATCTTCTCCATATCATCCCAGGATGTCACCATGCCATGTTCCACAGGGTATTTAAAAGATAAAATGCCCCTCTTGGCTTGAGCTTCTTCCCCAACGTAATATTCCCTCTGAGCAGGCCCAAACATAATGGATTTAGACTTTGGATAGCCAATCACAGTAGCTACAATGCTTCGTGGTTCCTGCTCTCCAGACAATCCAGCTTTACACATCCCTGATCCATTGTCAATAATGACAGCTGGAAGGTCTGGTACTCTGCAGTGAGACATTCTTGGGTGGGGGAAAAAAAGGAGGGTGGTCCCCCCCCACTCCGTGTCTTAGAGCTCTGGTAGAATGTTCTGCCGTCAACGTTCTAGATTTCTTAGGGTCACAAAAGGTGATATTTCTTTTTTCCAGTGAATATTTTTAGACCTATGAACATGCTACATACATTTCAGGAAACATTCTTCTCCAAGAAAGTAGGAGTCAGCTTGGAAGATGAAGACCTTCAGAGTTTACTGTAGAAAAGTGAAGACTGTCCGTCTTCTGAAAGGGCCTTCAGGAAGGTAGAGTAGCATGGATACAAGGAAGCATGACATATTTCCCTCCAAGATCACATTAGTAGTGTCTGGATATCTAAGAGATGAATTCAGAGTGGAAAGGACCCACCAGAGAAGTGAAGCTGAACCGTCCTCTCATCCTGAGTGAAACTTCACACAAGTTCAGAAAGGAGTGACCACAAAGCAGTAGCTTGCATTGTCCTCTTCATCACTGTTCAGCCTATAGAGTCCATCACAAAAGTGACATCAGAAAAGCAATGTGGTGTCCAAGAGGGATACTGAAAGAAGATTTCACTTCTGTACACCTTTGCAAAGAATGAGACAGAAATCTCACATGAAAATATTTTTTAAAAAAAACTGGTGTCATGAAGAATGTTAAAGTAAGGGAGACCTGGATTCAAATCCTTCCTCTCAGTTCTGAAGTTTGTTCAGTAATGTTGGGTCAACATAATCTCTTAGCTCAACCTACCCCACAGGATTGTTGTGTGGGAAAATGGGAGGAGGAGGAGGAGAAGACAACATTTTTGGTGTCTGAGTCAAAAAGACAAGTTTGATTGATTAGCATAGTTATGATTATGGGTAGCTTGTGCTCCATGGGTCAGACTTCTAGTTCTCCCTCTCTGCAATCCATAATGACACTCACTATTTGTTGGCCAAAGCTTCATCTTGCATGGAGATCTCGGGGATGGAACCTCAGACCTTCTCTCTGCAAACCACATACTTGGTTAAGTGGTAGCCACTTCTAAACAGGCCTTTGGTTCCTTCTCAAGTGGAAGAGGGAATAAAGGCAGTTAGTGGACAGTTGGTGAATACTGGAATAAATGAGACCATGGGGAGATGGGTCCCACTTACAGACTCTTGATATCATTCCCAGCAGCCCAAAATATGTTATGTAGGTTGCAAACAGGCCAAAGTTCCTCCCAGACAAGTCACTGTATTCGTCATGTAGCTGTGTGGGGCCATAGCTCAGTGGCAGTGCTTTTTGTTTAGAACATTGCAGGTTGACTAATAACTTGCCTTTTAGCCAATTTAATGCCACTATGGTGTTATATAAATGGGAGCTAATGGTCAGGAGATATTCCTCCACTCTTTCTGTGTCTTTGAATGAGATGTTCATTCAAAGCTGAGAGAAGGCATCTTGATACTTGAGGGTTCTTTGTGTTTTTTAAGTGAGAATAACCATTGCGCTTTGGAGAAGGTCTCCTGGTTGCTGGGAATCGTTTTGTGTTCTGAAGAAAATACCCATCAGAATTTGGAGAAGGACTCCAGATAGTTGGGAAACTTCTCTGTGTTTTTTGAATGAGATACTCATCAGAAACTTAGAGGTGGTACTCAGACTGCTAGTAGAAGGGCAGTTAATATCTGTCTACACGAAAAGGAAACAGCTGGTGATGTATACATTTGCAAGTAAAGAAAACATCACAAGGACTCGGCTTTTTGAATGAGATACTCATCAGAACTTAGAGGTGGTACTCAGACTGCTAGTGGAAGGGCAGTTAATATCTGTCTACATGAAAAGGAAACAGCTGGTGATGTATACATTTGCAAGTAAAGAAAACATCACAAGGACTCGGTAAGTTTCCAGGGCTTTTTTTATCCAAAGGAAACCAAAGCCTGCAGCACTGTCCCCAGAACTTCTCAGTGCTTGAGGGGAGAGCACATCACAATATTTTCTCTCTCATACTATACCACAATAACACACCAGAAAGCAAGTGGCATCAAAAATTATGTCCTTAGCTCTTACTCATGACTATTAAAATTGAAAGAACAAAGTTTGAATCACAAAAGCTCATAGCTTGAATATAACTTTGTTGGTCTTAAAGATGCCACTGGACTCAAACTTTGGTCTCCTGCTTCAGACCAAAACAGCTACCCACCTGGATCTATTAAAATTGGTGTCCAGTGATTATTCGGCTAAATCCTACTCATTAAAACAATTTGAACTTGCAAGCCTATCTACCCTGCCTTTTGCACCAGTAAGTCAACATCAATGCTCCCTCTAAGCTGTGGAGTCTTGTGAGCAAAAGTTCTACTTTGTGAGCTACTCGCCTTAAAGTTGTGAGTGAGCCATTTGGCGACTGCATTAATTAGTTTGCCCTGGAGCCGTCCTTCTTGAACTAAGACAAAAATGTGTGAGCTGGAGGCTAAAAAACTGAGTTAGCTCACAGTAACTCAGCTTAGAGGGAACACTGATCAACATCTATTAGCTCTGAATGCATTTTCTCAGCATTGTTCCTTTGTTCTTCCAGAATTTCTCTGTAATGCATTCCATTCCTCTTGAACCCTGGTTTAACTGGATCATGCACACTTGTCTGCATTTTTGAGTTCCTTCAGTTCTCCCTTCCCCATTCTGCATTATCAATGCACACATAAAACACTCCCAAAAAGCAACATTGAAATGACTGTATGTATGATTCAATCAAGCTTCTTTTGGTACAGTATTTCTACAGTATTAATTCATATGCAGACCTGTGCACTGGTAAAATGCCACAAAAGAAGAATTTTAATACACACATACCAAGATCACAACACTTTATCAGTGTTCATGTGCACATCGGTTATTTATAGAGGAAGAGGTTCATGTAAACTGAACACTGGACCAAACTGCACATGCACAGTTCTTCATACTAAAATTCAGAAATAAAGCAATGAAGATTAATGTTCATCAGAAACAAAACAGTACAGAAATTTGGGTGAGAACTTTGGACACATTCTTAATGCCCATAGCTATTATAGTAATACAACCGAAAACCTGTAGGACCTTTGTTAAGGTCTCACAATGGGACATCAGTTTGGATTACAGAGTGGAAGAGATGAGCCAACATCCAGTTTCCCCATCCTGTCCTTCCTTTGACTAGGACTATGAAGGATCACGAGGTATTTAGACCAAGGATATGAATGACACATCCCACACAGCTTCCCAGCACATGTAAAAACCATTTTTAATTTAACCCTTTAAAGGGGATGGATGCTTTGTTTGAAACCACTGGCACCTCTGTTGGTACTGTGCTATACATTCCCAAGTTCTCTTTAAAAGCAGCGTCTCTGCACAATGTTTGGTCCAAACTCTCTGTAGTCAGCAGCAGTGACCCACATTCGCTTGAAGGTGCTCAGGGAAGTAATGATGGAGGCCCCAATCCAAGTTGAGAGCCATCGATCTGGAGGGGATATGATCTTTATGGGAACACCTTGGGGGACTTTTTGTTCTAGCCCCTTGAAGATCCTCTCGTCTAATCCTGGAAAGAGAGAGGAACCACCGGAAAGCAGCACGTTACTGTAGAGCATCTGGCGGATACTGGGGTCACATTTTTTAATGCTCCTGGTGATCATGGTGGGAAGGCCTTGTCCAGTTTTGCCAGCTTTGCTGGGTGTGAAAAGGATCTCAGGTGCTAGAAAAAGAGCATCGCCAATGCTGATTTTGTGACCATCAGGTAGTACATATTCCTTTGGGAGCTCCACTGGCACCTTATTATGGTCAGAGTAGGAATCCAGGGACACAAAACATAACTTCACTTTGATGTCTTCCACAACACTGTTTGCTTCCGGAAAGTTCCTGTAATACCGCCCACTTTCTTGAAGCAATTTCCGTAGAAACTCAGTGATATCTCTGCCACCAATATTCAATCTGGAGACAGCATGGGGCAGACAGTATCCCTCGTAGACGGGCACTGCATGGCTGACTCCAAAGCCACTGTCCATCACAAGCCCAGTGTACCGCGCTGAGGCATAGAGAGATAGTATAGCTTGGACAGAAAGATAGAAGGCAGGTACCTTAAAGCGTTCAAACATCAACTGAGTAAGTTTGGCTCGATCCTCTTGGGGATTCAGAGGAGGTTCGGTCATCAGCAAGGGTCTCTCAAAGGATCTCAGACCCAAAGCTTTGTCATAGATGTGCTTCCAGATCTTCTCCATATCATCCCATGAAGTTATAATGCCACACTCAATTGGGTATCTCAGTGACAATGCTTCTCGCCTATCTTGGGCCTCTTTTCCTACGTAACATTCCCTCTGTTTGTCTTTGGATAATGTAACTTTGGTTTTGGGGCACCCGACAACTGAAGGGATGATTTGTCTCGGGCCAACTTCTCCTGAAGTCCCAGCTTTGCAGATCCCGGATCCATTGTCAATAATCACAGCCGGTGTGCTGAAGACTTTAGCCTTGAATCCTTCTGCTTCACGTACCATTTTAAACTTCAATTAAGGTCTGCAAAGCTTGTGTCTCACCAAAGTTACTGTGCTGGAGATTCACAGGCATATCTTCCAGTGTCTCAAGAGCACCAAAAAAACATCCTAACACCCAAATCCTTGAAGCACTGTACCTGCATTAAAGATGTTCATCTCAAAGGTAACTGGAAAGTGGTACTTGTAGACAATACTTAACAATGAGTGAGGTAAGTGCTAGTAATTGTTTGGTGGTTTCTAGGAAACCAACACACAGAGAAAATCTTAAGTTGCAAAGTGTCTTGATTGCCCTGATTGGAAAACTTATCGTGTGTGTTTTTAAAAGTTTTATATTTTTTAAATTTATATATGCATATTGTTAGATGGATTTGTTATTCCGGAGAAAGACTGTGGCTTCGTGGTAGAGCCCTTGCTTTGAATGCAGACAATTCCAGATTCAGCCCCTCCCTGGCATCAGCATTCATAAGATCTCAGGCAGAAGGTGTTGGTGAAGAAAAGTTATTTGCCTGGGAACCAATGCCAGTTCAAGTACATAGTGCCGAGATACAATATGGGCCAATGATCTGACATGGTATGCGTTAGGTTTATACATTTGTATGTAGTGTGGTTAATGTGTTATCACACCTCCTTCCAAGGATGTCCATATAGTTATTATTTATTATTATTTCAGCTCACACTGGCTTTCAAAGCAGCTTATAGGTATCAGAAACCCATGCAATCAACCATTAGAATGTAATATGGGAAAAAAATTGGCAAGGAGACGCTTGGCTGAGCATTCTCCAAATATGACAGAGGAGTGTCCGGCTGCTTCCTGCTCTCCCTTAATGGCCTTACTGATGTCCATTAGTAGTGACCTTAAGGCTGTGATCCTAATAACACTTTCCTGGGAGTAAAACCCCATTGAATGAAAGGGACATACTTCTCACTAGACCTGTTTAGGATTGCTCCCTGATATTACTATCTGATTCTCTTTCCCAAGGTGTAGGATTAGGAAGGATTAATGTTGTTAAGCCTTACCGTGCTTCTGGAGTCCAATAGGGCTGGTCCCCAGTTGATCAGGAAATGGTCAGTCCCCTGGGACCAAAGACAAGTAGCACAGTCCAAAGCAGGCCAGGATTCAAGTTCTGTAAGTGGCAATTAAAAGTCAGGAGTAGATAAGGTAGACCAAGACCAGAAGTAAGAAGTTTCAAAGGCTGTGTGGTGTGAAATAGAAAGGCACTTAGGTATACTGAGAAAGGTTAGACTTGGAGAGTATGACCGTAGTCTGGGGTGTTATAAGGTTTGGTGGAGCCAGCTGAGTTCTTGTTGGTCAGCTGACTGGGTGTTGTCAAACTCAGAGCCCCAGCAAATGCCTCTCTGAACGAGGCTCCTATGTAAAATGGGACCCCAACACTTTTGAACCTGTGGGCATATTTGGAATTTTGAGAGGGGGTGGTGAGAACCACTTCAAAATGGCTGCCACAGAAGATGGCTCCAAACCCAAAATGGCTGCCACAAGAAGCAGAGCTGAATGGAATACCTCCCTCTTTACACCTCATGGGAAGAAGAAAAACCTGAAGGCAGTGTTCCCTCCAAGCTGTGTGTGTGAGTGGCTACTCATTAACACAGGAAGCCCTGCTTAGCAGCACTCTGGAATAGGGTTGCCAGACCCCCTGGTTCTCTGGAGGTTCCCCAATTTGGGAGGGCTCCTTCCCACCACCAGCCAGTTGGCTGGTGGGGGGGGGGGAGCCCTGCCCCCAAGAGGCACCACCTAGCCTCCCCCCACCTCTTCCCAACAGCATTAAAGAGATCCTTTAAATGCTGCTGGGGAGAGGTGGGGGCCATGTGGCTGCACTCCAAGCCCCGAATTCGGGGCTTGGAGCACAGCAGGCCCATACAGCCTCCCCACCCCCTTCCCAGCAGTGTTTAAAGAGACCCCTTAAACGCTGCTGGAGAGAGACGGGGGCTGCCGCACCCCAACATAATGATGTCACTTCTGTGTGATGTCATCATGCCAGGGACATCTCCACCCCCTCCAGTAATCCCCCTCCCCAAGTCAGTAGGGGGGGATTAGAGGGAACATTGTCTGAAGGGGAAATGGAACAACCACACACTGACTAAGGGAGGCCCAGGTGTTTACCAGACCTCCCGATCCTCTGCCAGAATATCCTTCTATTTAATGAGGGCAGCCAGTAACAAGCCCTGCCTTACAATGGCCAAACCCACTTTCTGAAAAGCTTGGCGGGGTTTAAGGAAAATACTGGTGAGCACCATGGTGCCTACTGGTATCACATCTAGAGGAAACTTGATGTAGAGGAAGGAGGGCTCCATCCTATTATGCAGTGAGAGGGAGGAAGCCGGGTAATGGAGAGGAAGTGACATCAGGTGTGTGTGTGGGGGACAAAGAAATGTCAACATTGCTAGAGCTAGCAACAGCACCAAGTTGAGATGGGAGGTAGAGGAGGGAAGAAGTGGGGAAGGAAAGCAGAGAATGTAGTGGGCAAGCCTTTCTACAGGAGAGAGGAAATTATTTCTTGAGTGCTTCTGTCAGGATTACTGTGTTTGTACTTGGCTCCTTGAAGATAAGTGTTTTGCAAAGTTCTTTAGAGCAGATATGAAAATCCCATTGCACGCTATAAGGGCTAAGCTTTCTGACAAAGAATGGAAGAGCTGCTAGGGTGCTGGTGGATACTTTCAGGTTTCTGATTTTTGGATGCTAATAATGGGGTCTTAAGATCCATGTTTTGTGGTCTACATTCCAATATACATTTCAGTTACAGGGCTCCTCAAACAGGGCTGGGGAGGTATTACTGCTCCGTGCATGTGAGCATCTACATTAATCAGTTGCGTGGGTTTTTTTAAAACAACCCCCCCAAAAAAAAACAACAAATTATAACCATACATACAAAGTTGGTTGGAATAGTCTTAAGAAAAAAATTGTTCAGAATCACGTAACTGAAAGAATTTTCATTTTTTAAATGACATCCAGTGTGGTGTAGTGGTTAAAATGCTGGACTGGGGTTGGGAAGACCTGGGACTGCTGAACTGTAAAACTCCTTAGGTACCCCCCTGAGCTGATCATGACCTCTCAGCATCACCTACCGCACAGGATGGTTGTGAGGATAACAGTATGTTTAGCAGAAAAGCCATGCCAAGCATAGTGAACTCCTTGTAGGAAAGGCAGGATAAAATATAACAGATCAGGAGCACTATATTTAGGGAAGTCTTAGACCATGGCTGCTATGTATTTTATAGACCATGCTCACTCAGCAAAACAATCCTGGTTCAAGCATATGTCCCGATGGGTCCACTATGAAGTGGCATGATGGGGTGCTTCTCCATTAAAAGAAACAACCCTCCCAGCATGTAGAAAATTAACATGGCTCAGCCTAGCCTAGCCATCTTCTGCCATAATGGTTCTTTTGTGAACAGAGTCGTTATTTTTGGAGAGCCAGTTTGGTGTAGCGGTTAAGAGTGGCAGGACTGTAATCTGGAAAGCCTGGTTTGATTCCCCACTCTACCGCATGCAGCCAGCTGGATGACCTTGGGTCAGTGACAAGTTCTCTCAGAGCTGTTCTCTCACGAGCAGTTCTTGAAAGAGCTCTCTCAGCCCCACCTACCTCACAGGGTGTCTGTTGTGGGGAGGGGAAGGGAAGGGAAGGGAAGCCGTTCCGAGATTCCTTTGGGTAGTGAAGAGCGGGGTATAAAGCCAATTCTTCCTCTTCCTCCTCCTCCTCCTCTTCCTCTTCTTTTTCTGTGGACTGAAAGTTAAATATGAGGAGTCAGTGTGATATCCTCCTCCTCCTCTTCTACCTCTTCTTTTTCTGTGGACCGAAAGTTAAACATGAGGAGTCAGTATGATGTGGCAACAAAAAAGGCTAATGCAATCTTGGGGTGTATCGATAGAGGCATAACATCTAAATCATAAGGTGTCATAGTCCCACTGTACACTGCATTGAAAAGGCCACTCCTGGAGTATTGTGTGCAGTTCTGGAGGCCTTACTTCAAAGAGGATGTGGACAGAATGGAGTGCATGCAGAGGAGAGCGACGAGGATGATTGGGGGCCTGGAGACCAAGGCCTATGAGGAAAGGCTGAGGGACTTGGGAATGTTCAGTCTGGAGAAGAGGAGGTTGAAGGGGGACATGATTGCTCTCTTAAAGTATTTGAAGGGCTGTCACTTAGAGGAGGGCAGGAAGTTGTTCCTGTTGGCAGCAGAGGAGAGGACTGGCAATAATGGGTTTAAATTAAGGGCGGGAAGGTATCGGCTGGATATGAGGGAAAACTTTTTTACAGTAAGAGTTATGCAACAGTAGAATCAGCTGCTTATGGAGGTGGTGAGCTCCCTCCCTCTGGCAGTCTTTAAACAGCATCTGGATGAATGCTTGTCAGGGATACTCTAGGTGATCCTGCATTGAGCAGGGGGTTGGACTAGATGGCCTCTATGACCCCTTCCAACTCTGTGATCCTGTGATTCTTCTCCTTCTCCTCCTCCTCCCTTCTTCCTCCTTTCCCAACATTTTGTACAGTCTTTAGTTTCAGGGACTTAATGTAGGGATGCTGAGTTTTGTCTTTTCTTTTTTCAAAAACTGTGACATCAAGAATGTATCATGGGCTCCTGAATATCCTTTTCCCTCCTACTTTCCCCCCTTCCTCTGCTTCCTCTGCTCTATGTGGAACTGATTGTTGTAACCAAGAGATCTGGATGTTATTGTTAGCATTCATTAAGTTTTATTTCCCCACCCCCTTTATCCAAAACCAGAGGTCATTTCGGGGGGTATCGTGGGGGATCGCAGTTCCCCCGGGTGAGGTGCAGGGGGGCGGGGCACACGACGAAGCCCTGCCCCTTCTTCTGGCCGCCCCCTTCTTCCAGCCTCATTCTGTTGCAGAAGGAGGAAGAAGCAGGAGGGTAAGTTGGCGTCCTCCCCCTCTGCCTGGCCGAGGCCACTCCACGTGGCCTCCGCAAGGACTCCCAGCCCCATCCAGGAGCTTCCCCGAGGTAGCTGTGTTAGTCTGTTGCTGCAA